GAACAGCATCGGGAGGTGCAGCCACGTGGAAACAGGGAGGGCAGGTTTTAATACAGAGATGGGGAGTGGCTACTTGACGGGGAGGAGGGGCTGGCTATCAATTTATCATTAAGAAAAATACAAAACAAAGTGATTGTTGAAAAAATACTGTGCTGTCAAAGGTAAGTCTTCCAGGCAGTGCTGGAAGTCAAATGCAGTGAGCGATTTCTGCTGCTTTCTTTCTTAAACGTCCAGGGTTTGGGGGCTTTTTTTTTTTTTAAGATTTTTTTTTTTAAAGATTTTATTTATTTATTTGAGAGAGAGAGAGAAAGCACAAGCAGGGAGGGGTGGAGGGAGAGGGAGAAGCAGGCTCCCCGCTGAGTGGGGACCCTGATGCGGGACTCGATCCCAGGACCCTGAGATCACGACCTGAGCTGAAGGCAGATTAAGTAACTGACTGAGCCACCCAGGCGCCCAGTTGCAGGGGGTTTTTTTAAGCCAGTTTTTATAATTAATCTTTTAACTTCCTCACCTCTTATCTGCCCTTCCAATACACAGATAAAAGCATGATCCCCTTGAAGGAAAAATTAGAAAACAGAGAGACAAACCATAAGAGACTCTTCACTCTAGGGAACAAAGCAAGGGTCACTGGAGAAGGGGGTCGGTGGGGGGATGGAGTCACTGGGTGACGGGCATTAAGGAGGCCACGTGATGGAATGAGCACTGGGTGTTATATGTAACTGATGAATCCCTGAACTCTACTTCTGAAACTAATAATACATTATATGTTAATTAAATTGAATTTAAATAATTTAAAAAAAAGAAAAAGCATGATCCCCTGTACCCTCCAGCCCCCCTGTCAGGAGAGGTCCGTGTCCCTGCTTCTTGGTGGGTTGAGAAGAAGAGGCAACCAGAGGGGGACATTCTCAACCTCCGGCACCTGTGCATGCCTGCCTGCTCAAGGCCAGGTCGCCTCCTGCCCGTACGACCACCGTAGCCTCCTGACTGTCTGTCGTGTTCGCCTCCTAGAGCAGCCAGAGTGGTCCTTCCAAGATGTAACCAGACCACGTGGTGCCCCCAGCTCAGAGCCACTGCTGCCGTTAGCAGTTAGGATAAAATCCAGAGACTCTCAAGGTCAACGAGGTCATACACCGCCCTCCCGCCCCTGCGACTTCTCCCTCCTCTTGCCCGCTCGCCTTTTTTTTTTTTTTTT